AGGGGGGGTTTGCTTGGGGTTGTTGGGTTTTTTTTTTTTAAGAAATATTCAACATATACAAGGGTTGGTGGGTGGGTGCAGCAGCGCAAAGGCGAGCACCTGCAGTTGGGTCCCAAAACTGCACAGAGCTGCTGGGACAAATGGCGGCAGTTTTGGGGAGCGCATCTTCTCTTACCGCGCTGCTTGCACTAAAGGTACCCAGTGCTCATGCAATCGGGCTCTTTATTTGGCAAGAAGCTGCAGAAATAATTCCTAGAAGAACACAAAGGGGTTTCGAACGTATTTTATTGCAAATGTTCTCAGTTAAACCAGGATTCACAGTTATTAATGCAACTTGTTTGTGACCTGCATCCTAAATATCAGCCCAGGCATGGACAAGAGCAATACTTTTTATCCCTCTCTCTATAAAAAAAATATATATTATTTTAAATATAATATATATTTATAGCAATACTTTTTAATATCAGTACTGCTTTTTACAACAGCCTTAACAGGGTTCACCAATCTATCTGTAACCCCTGATAATTGAACAGTTATTAATTAATTGTAGGTGCTACAGATGTCTGTGCTCCTGCCAGGATGCGAGCCTTTGTGGCCAAGATCCCTTTCCCCATCTGCATGGCAGGACCCACCCGGACCCAGTGGGTGAGGCAGAGCCTGCGCCGGTCACAGCAACGGGGACCACAAAGGTCAGAGCCAATTTAACTTCTGAGCCAGGCAGCCTGCGGAGCCTGGGGGGGCTGGAGCCTGAGGGGGGCTGAAGCCCCGGGGATGGGAGCCCGGGGATGGGAGCCTGGGGGACTGGAGCCTGGGGGACAGGTCCCTGTCAGGGAGCAGCTCCCGGGGCCGGCAGCGAAGCCTGCTTGGAGCACGACAGGCTGGGCAACGTATCGTGCTCTGGTTATTGCAGCCCTCCCCTTGCTGCCCCAGCACCTCCCGCCCATGCTTAAAATTCCTTCTGGGGTGCTGAGGGTGCTGTGTCCACCCAAGCAGCTCGCGCAGGAACATTCCTATTCATGAAATGCTTTCTCTTAACAAATTAAAAAAAAAATCTTTCTGCTTCTTTCCAGTGGGCACGGGCAGATCAGAGCAGCAGAAGTCACCGATAACCAGCGATGGGAAGCACCGGAGGTAGCCTGGCCTCACCCCTGGTGCTGGAACAAGGGGCCCAAGCGGGTGTTGCTGCTCCGCCTGCCCCACGCCCCAGCGCTCCCTGAGCCCCCGCGCACGGTACCGCACAGGTAACCCCAGCCGCTGGCTTCGTAACGCGCTTAAACTTATTTCTGCGCAGCGCGGCACTCGCAGCCGCCCTCTCCTGGCACAACGCGCCTTCTGCCAAGCTCCCTTCCTACCTCAAAAGCCTTTGGGGGTGTTGGAGGCTTTGCTCGTGCTCAGTTACGGGGAGAAAATATGGCTCAGCGCTCCCACCACATTAATCTCTGGTTTAAAACAAGCCCGGCTTCCCGCACCTCCCAGGAAGGCCGGCACGGCAGCCCTTAACACCCCGTGATTTTGGGGGAAGGGAAGGGCGTTGCTTTCCACCAGTGACTGGGACAGGCCCAGCCTCTCAATGCCCTTCTCCCGCTTTAATTCCAACAGCCCCCGTTGAGAGGGAGCCGTGCTGGGCTGGACAAAATAGGAGGAAAAGGGAACATGGGGTCCAGGTCTGCTGCAACCACACCTCCAGCCACCCCTTGATTAATTAACCAAGCGTGCTTACATGGCTAGGAAAAACACAAGGACTTAATTTTGAGTTAATAGTTTAATAATAGAATTTTTCCTTTAAAAATAAAACCTAAGCTCGTCAGGTTAAAGATTTAAGTGCTTTTTAAGGCTGCAAAGCCGCTCTGTGCGTTGAGTCTCAGTAGTACCGGGGCGGGGGGAAGGCATCACTGCATGTAGGCGTAGCGCCAGTCCGTCAGGGGCACGTGCGTTTCTTTGACGGCCTGGGGAGACGTCCAGCGCAGGATGTAGTGGGGGCCACCAGGTTTGTCATTGGTGCCTGTTTCAGGAGGAAAGTGCCGGTGACCACGAGATGGAGGATGGGGAACGTGCCTGGAGGGGGATGTGACTCAGCGCACGGCTGTGCAGGTAAGTGCCGTCTCCAGACGGGAGTTTTTCATCTCACCTGAGATGCGGGAGCCTCCGAAGGGTTGCTGAGCCACGACGGCGCCTGTCGACTTATCATTGATGTAGAAGTTGCCAGCCGCATTGCGCAGAAGGCTCCTGGCTTCATCGACGATTCTCCTAAGGAGGGGCAGAAGCGGCTGTGACCGTGACACAACGGCAAAAACTCGTGTGGAGGCCCCTGCCCTTCCATAGCAATTAAAATTGTGTTTCTTTACACCCCTTTCCAGGACTGCACCTTGTTTAACGCTCACTGAAATGGGTTGTGCGTACTTAGCGCTCAATTAAATTATCCCAATTTTGTTTTCTTTTCGTTTGTCTCTCTTTTTAAGTTTTATTGTTATAAAATAAAGGTGATGACGCCTTAAGGCTGGTCCCCCTTGGAGGTTACGCTGCTCTTAGCCCTCCTCCTGCCTAAGCAGGTTGGGGACGCATCCTCCCATCAGCTCCAAACATCAAAAAAGCATTTTTGGGGCTGAGAACCCACCTTAGATGCATCCCCTTCCCCCTGCAGCGCAAGGAGGGCTAAAAGCAGCATAAGCCTTGCGGGAAATGCCGCCTTCTCCTCCCCACCACGCAGCGTGGGGCTCTGGAGAGACGCGGGATTGACGGCTCGCCCCAGAAGGGGAAAAGCAGCTTTGCTGGCTCGGGAGGCCGAAGGCAGCGCGGATTTTGGCACTTACTTCTCCTGGGCGAAGAGTGCCCCCGTGAGGCCGTAGGGCGTTGTGGTGTCGATGAGCTCCAGGACCTCCTTGTACCGCTTCTCGGGGTAGACGTACACTGTGAGAACTGGGCCAAAAATCTCCTGTATAGCAAAAAAAGTATATAAAATAAAGCACTTGGCTGGGACAGCCTCTGAAAATAAGCGGTGGGCACTTCGGCACCCCATTAGCTAAAACCACGATGAGGAAGGAACATCCCTGCACCAACTTACCCTACGGCACGGGTTAGCTCACCCCTACATGGCCACCGACCGCCTCGGGGTGGGACCTGCAGCCCCTTTTGCTCCTTTCCTGCCGCCTCCCCGCAAGCTGCTCTCACCTCCTTCATGATGGGGTCCTGGGGGTCTTTGCTCTCCACGATGCACGGCTCGATGAAGTACCCAACGCTGTCATCACAGCCGCCTCCTGCCAGGATGGTGAGGTTGGACGACTTCTTGGCGTGCTCGATCCATTTCTTTATCCGGGCAAAAGACTGAGAAAAGGAAATAATAAATTAAAAAAAAAAGTGTGGGTTGGGGGGGCCTAAAAGGAGATTTGGGCAAGCGCTTTCAGGGCTACGCTGCTCTCAGCGCTCTTCCAGCTTGGGAGGAGGAGCGGGAGCTGGAAATAAGAGTCCTGGGCACGCTGAACATTACATCTGAGATAATTTCTCAGCAAAAGAACCTGCTTTTCAAGAGGGGCCGTGACTCAGGCTTGCAGCAGTACAGGAGGGAGCTGATAATCAGCTCTAACTGATCACGGATGTTCGTACTTTGTTGTAAGCAATTAAAAAAACCCCATTTAACATAACGCTTAATGAAAGCCTGGTGGTGTTACCCTCTTGCGCTGGTAGAAAGAGGAGAGGTGAGCTCACCTTGTCATCAATCACCGCAGAGAAAAACGTCCCAAAGTCCTGGGCGGGCTGCAGGAAGCCAGAAAGGGACAATGTAAGTACACACTGCGCCGAAAAGCTAACGCTGAAATTAGGAGGAGCTGAAATTCCCCAAATAAATAACACTTCTCCCCGCTCCAAACACACCTCTGTTCGAGGCTTTTCAATTAGTCTGCAGTATTCAGCGACTTACGCAATCCTTCCTGCAGACGCTGTCTACAAGTTAATTTCTAATCACTAAAAAAAAAAGATGAGGGGGGGGACAACGGAGGGGCGGCGGTGGGGAGAACTAGTGGATAAAAAGCTCGGTTCAATAGGAATTAGTAGCCAGTTACCGCAGTCTCTAATCCCATCAACCACCCGCTGAGCCGCAAAGCCCTTCAGCAGCCCGGCAGCTCTGCTCACGTCTCCCACTTTGATCTTCCCGTGCTCCTCCAGCAGTTTCTCTTTGATCTGGGGCCACAGCGAGTCCGGGGCGTAGAGGCGGGAGCAAGCCGAGCATTTTTGGCCGCCGTACTCGAAGGCCGAGCGCAGGGTCCCGTTCACCACGCTGGCCACGTCAGCCGAGCTGTGCACCAGGTGGAAGTTCTTCCCGCCGCACTCTGGTGCCGGAGAAGGGAGGAAAAGGGACAAGTGAAGAGCTGTCAGGGCCACCACTGCCAAAAAGCACAAACTACGTCCAGGTCCCTCGCAAGGGGCTCAGCCAGCGCTCGCCCTGCCTGGGCCACAGTTCCTCGGGGAACAGGGACAGTGCTGCCATCCCAGGGAGCCCAACCCCAGAGCCCAAGGAGCTGGAGCTGGCTTACAAAACTGATGGAAAAGGGACTCACCTGAGTTCCCAAACTTTTGCGTGGAAGCTCTGCACGCCGTGAGTGTCACCACCTCCCACCCTAGTACCAGCTCCCCACCGTAAAACCCCCATCCCGTGCCGGTGGGCGCAGGTGCCGTAAGCTCCCCCTAACACCCAGTGCGCCCAGATGAAGAAGCTTTACGCTTCTGCCACAGAGGGTGGACAGGACGCAATGCCTCATGGCATTTGCTCTCTGCTCACAAGGAGAGGAATCCTGACAATCACTTTATTTTCTCCCCAAGAAGGGAAGAAACCTCACCCCTGCATAGCTTTCCCCCCCAAAAAAGGTGTAAGAGGCAGCAGTTACCTCCAGCCAGGCGTGGGAAATTGCGGTAGCGATCCAGGTTTTCGGATACCTGCTTCCAGAGCCGCTTGAAAGTCCTGGAAGAGAAAGGAGGAGCTGGTCAGTGTGCTCTTGCCTTTGCACAGGGGTGGCACTTGGAAAAGGCCCATGCGGGTGATGTGCCCTGCTGAAAGGGACCCCAGCAAACCCCTGAGTCCACCCCCAAAAGGGCCGCCCACCAGCGGAAGAGGCGATGCTAGCCGAGAACGAGCCCCTCGCTCCCACAGACACGCCACTACACAACCACCCCCTAGTTTTAAAAATAAGAAACTGTTGCAGCATCCCAGGGAAGACCACAGGAGTGAACGCCCAGCCGAACTTTCTGCTCTTCCCCTTCCCCCCCCTTCTTTTCGGTCCTTACTGTGACAAACCCCTTGGCTGCAAAACAATAAAAATGCTAATAACCTCCCACCAGGAGGCACAGCCACTAATACTAATTTATGAGCTTCCCACCTTTAAAGCCCGATGCTCATCAGACCGTGTCCTTCGCCGGTGGAGCTGGGTCCCCGTGTTTAATAGCCCGTTGCAGGCTGCCCGGGCCCTCAGCATCGCTAACACACCCCGACACACAGGCAGAGCACGGGTTTGCAAATCTACTGGAGCTGGCATCGCTCTGCCAGTGTGGTGCGGTTCATTAAGCCAAATCACAGCAGCCCTGGGAGACAGGGCAGCGTCACCTGCAACTTTATCTGTCCTCTGTGCCTTGAGTTTAGCAACAGAAATGCCCTGCTATTAAACGCACTCCCTGTAGCAATAAAACTTGGTTAGATGTTTTTTTAATCAGTTTTAAACCCCTACTTTAATTGCATAGTGTAAGGGCAGCCGGTTGTCTGCCTGCCACCCTACTCAACGCTGTGTCCTGGATGTTCAAAGGGCCGGCAGACGAGCAGCCAGCATCGTCTCAGCCAGCGGCTCCTCGCCCCTCTCCCCGCTGCCACCCCCTTCCCCAACGTACGGCACGCTGCCGGTGAAATTGAGCCCGCAGAAGTGCTCGGAGCTCGTGACGGTGTCTCCAAACACGGGCCCATCCGCCGGCACGAACTGCACGACGTTCGGAGGGAGCCCGGCTTCGAGGAGGATCTTGTAGACGGCGTAGCTGGAGAGCAGAGCAGTGTCGCTGGGCTTCCACAGAACCACGTTTCCCTGGGGGAGAAGGGAAAGCCAGGATACAAGGAAAGGCTTCAGCCCAAACACGGGTACGCGATGCTTAAATGCCCTGGCAAGTCTGGCCCACAGCCCACAGTGGATGGGACCGGAGCGATGGCACCTTTGGGTGAGTCCTGCCTACCTGTTACCCTGAGCACTGCTTTTGAAAGGGAGCGTGATCGCCCCGGTCGCCTGAAGGCACAAAACCCCTCTCCTTTCACACCACCCCGTTCCCTGCCAGCCTCACACACCCCCTTTGCCAGGGAGGCAGAGTTTTACCTTCCCTAAGAGGAGCGGCGGCGCATGGACCTGTTTTATGTCTCAGGAAATGGGACAGAGCCGCAAAGAAACACGCTTACGACACCGAACATGCCGCCACTCGCTGCCACCGGCTTTGCGCACGACCCAGCGGGTGTTTGTGCCAGCCAAAGCAGCGAAATAAAACCTCAAGCCGGGACTAATCATGCACAAGCAAACGGCACAATTGGCTGGAAAACAGAGCGCTGGAACGCTGGGGGGGGCACCCCACCCCCTTGGCTCCGTGCCACCGTCCTCCCTTCAGCTCCCTGCGCAGCCGCCGGGGGCCCAGTGACCTCCCCGGCGTCACCGTCACACTGCTTGGTCCCCATCACACATGACCGTGCAACAGGGTGACAGCCCCGGGGAGCAGGCGGGGGATTTTTGGACTCTGTCTCAACCCAGGCGCCTGCTTTCCAGGGACTCGCGGTGCAGGCAAAGCTCCTTCCTGCCCCCCACGGACACTTCCACTCCTATAACAGTGAGAAAACTAAACCACACTCTGCAAAAAATCTCCAAGCAACTGGGAAATCGAACTCAGGCCGCGATCGGAGGCAGTAGGCCCGGCAGGCTGGATACCGGGGCGGTGCAGCAACCACGCCAGTCCCGAGGAAATCCCGCTCCCGACGCTGCAATGGCATTAACTGCGTTGATCTCTCCAGCTATTTAGGCAAGCACAATGTTTAATTCCCCAGGAAGCGCACTGTGGTGACTAAAACACTGGGCCTCTAATTAATATCCACCTATTAAGTACCATTTTCTCCTAAATTTAATTCCAGGTACCACCTGCCGCTGAGCTCTTCGAGTCACCCGCTGATGCCCCAGGCCCAGGGCGCGCAGGGGGATTTCATCGCGCTACAGCAGCCCGGTGGGAATTTATCATCGCGCTCGAGGAAGGAGAGGTGGATGCACGGCAGGGTGCCCAGAACAGCTCACCCAGACCTGCCAGCACGGGCTTGCCCCATCCCAGCACAGTTCGTCTGCTCTGGGATGAGTTTATCACCAAACACCCCAAAGCCAAAGCCCTCTTGAATCCCAGGGTGGGAGGAACGCAATCCCCTCCCCCCCAAAAAATTCATAGCTCTGTGTTAGCTTCACCCTCTTCCCTCCTTCTCCCCGCTCCTCCCTGATAAAACTGACAGGTTCAAATGCTTTGCCTTGAATATTGCTTTAAAACGTGACGTCCCCAAACAAAAGGCTTGGTGTTCTCCCTTATCGCAGCCTCTTCCACCTCCAACACCGGACACCACGGCTGACGGGACCGTCTTTGGTGCCAGGATGAAATCTGAGCCTCATTAGTAAAGAGCTCAGGACAATTCTGTGGGGTTTTTTCCAGTGCAACAATAAATGAATTAATCCTGGCCCAAATTCATCAGGTGATTACAGTCTCTCCCCAAAACCCACCCTGCAAAGGTAGGTGCTCCCCATGCTCAACGGGCACATTGGGGTGGGACACGTACAGAAGTGTGGTTTACCAATACTTTGATTTTTTGGAACTTCTTTCATGTCTGCCAGGATCTCATCTCCCAGTGCAATGCTAAATGCCAGGGCCACGACCCACTCTCTCCTACCTTCACCCTAAGGCACTGCCGTACCCAAAAAGCACCCTCTAAGAGGAACCTGAGCAATTACAGATTACACTTTTGCATTGCAACAGCACCCTAAGCCCCATTCACAGAGCAAGCACCATGCAGGAAAACAAAACCCTGCTGTATTTCTTGTCTCCCCCTCCAGCACCCTGACCTTCTCTGGATCTAAAACCCAGCTAGGAGTGAAAAGACACCTTGGTTCAGAGTGAAAACCCCAGAGGAGGTGGTTTTGGGCAGTTTTTCCTTTTCCAACACTTCCCCCATCATACCTGTCCATCCAGCCACTTAGAATGCCCTCTTGTAATTAAAGACACCCGAGTCTAATTGCAAGACAGCTGATTGAATTCAAGGGGACCAACATAAGCAGGACCCCAGGTGTGTCCTATCAACTGGCACCAGAGAAGCAGGGAGGCCAAACTGGCTCCTTGTGGATTCCAGACCAGGCAAACTGCAGCCTCGGAGAGACCGGGTCCCCCTCCCAGCCTTTCTCCAGCCTGTCCTCTCCATCCCTGGTTCTCCCCACCACAACACTCACCATCAACGCTGGAGCCCCTGCCAGGTTGCCGCCGATTGCCGTGAAGTTGAAGGGAGAGACGGCTGCCACAAAACCCTGTGGGTGGGAGAGGAAAAGGAGCGGTGGGAGCATGGTGCCTCCTCCCGCCGTGGTGTGAAACCACAGCTTGGGACAAAAAAGGGAGCTCCAGAGGTGGTGGGGGACAACCTCTTACCTCCAGCCCCCGATAGACCATGCTGTTGGTGCTGACATCCACACTGATGGGCTGGCTGTTCTCCAGCTCCAGGGCGTACTTGGCATTGAATCGGAAGAAGTCTATCAGCTCCGCAGCAGCATCGATTTCTGCCTGGATGACTGTTTTACCCTGCCGGGAGAGGTCACATCAAATAAAAGCACTGAAGGGAGGGTGGGGAGGAGGGAATGCAGCAGCCATGAGCTGCAGCGGTGCGGCACAGCACATCCAGATGTGGTTTGTAGGTTGCATTGCCTCTCTCACACAGACCATGTGCTCACTTCCGAAAGATGTGGCCTCCTACAAGCCCCAGTCCCATGACGTCTCCTTTGCACTGAGCGGAGGCAAACACTGCCCATGCCTGTGCAAGGGGATGTTGCATCCACCCGTGTTCCCCCACAGCCCCTCAGTACCTCCCTGGGGAAAGCCAGGGCTGCTGGGCCATTTCGCAAGGGTCAACCCTGATAATCGGAGCCCACGTCAGCTGACGCCGTTCCCACGAAGCTTGAGGACTCCCAGCCTCACCTCCCTTCTTTCTCAGGCAAGGATCAGCTTCAGGATCAGCCTGTTCCCCCTCGCAGCACAGCTACAGGCACTTCCAACACTACAGCCATTCCCAGTGCCAAAAAATACCTTGGCAGCTCTTCCTGCCCTACTTCCCTGTCTCCTGTCTCCCCAGATTCCCTCCCGTTCACCCCAGCTCTCCGCTGGGTCAATCCCGCATCTCCCCTACCTGCCCGATCATGGTTTTGGCCAGCACTTCTGCTCGCCTCGGGCCGCTCAGCATGTCAGCCGCCTTCAGGAAGATCTGGGCTCGATCCTGGACAGGTTTCAGGTCCCATTCCTTCCTCGCTGCCAAGGCAGCGTTAATGGCTTTGTTAATGAGCTCCTGTGGAAGAAAAGGGGAAAAGGCAGCAAGGAGGAACCCACCACCTCTCCGTCACCAGGTCGGAGGGGAAGGCGAGGTCCCATCCGTCCCTGGACACAAACCACAGCAGCCATTTTCCCATCACGACCCCAGATTTGCAGCTCCTGGTACGGGTTTGTTCCAGGACCCCTGGGACTTGGAAAGCCAATGCTCCCCCCCAGAGCCTCTCCCTGCTCACAATCTGAGCAGCAATTTATTTGCGTTTCATCCAGACTTCTCACCAGCAACCTCAGAGCAACCCAGAGCACATCACGCCACATCACAAGCCTCGCAACCCCTCAGCGAGGTAAGGCTCACTAAACCCAGGCAAAATGCTGCCGCTTCCCCCCGAAAAAGCACCCAAAAGGGAGGGCAGCGAGGTGCGCTCACCTTGTCAGCATAGCAGTACTTGGCCACCTTGTGCGCATGATTGAATGGCTGAAAAGAGAAGCAAACCCCCATAGTTATCAGTCTCTTATCAGTCTCTCCTGCTGGGCACATCCCCCCGCTCTGTTCTCACTTGTTAAAGAAGTTTTCCCCCAAACTCACCGACAGCTGGTACCGCACCGTCGGCGTCCACACCTCTTCTCCCCCGATCACGCACGGGATGGCTTCTGTCTTGCCCTTCAGGTCGGCGAGGGCCTAAGTGAGAGGAGGAGGAGAGCAGCGTGGTGGGAGCTGAACACGCAGACCCCAGCCAC